TGGTGGGTCAGTAATGGTGTGGGGAGGCATTTCTTTGGAGGGCCCACAGCCCTCCATGGGCTAGCCAGAGGTACCCTGACTGCCATCAGGTACCAGGATGAGTTCCTCAGACCCACTGTGAGACCATATGCTGGTGCAGTGGGCCCTGGGTTCCTCCTGATGTATGACAATGCTCGGCCTCATGTGGCTGAAGTGTGTCAGCAGCTCCTGATGATGAAGGCATTGATGCTGTGGACTGGCCGGCCCGTTCCTCAGACCTGAATCCAACTGAGCACATCTGGGACATCGTGTCTGGTTCCATCCACCAACGCCAGACGTCTGTACCACAGACTGTCCAGGAGCTCACTGATGCTTTTATCCAGGTCTGGGAGGAGATCCCTCAGGAGAACATCCTGCCTCATCAGAACCATGCCCAGACGTTGTCGGGAGGTCCTACAGGCACATGAAGGCCACACACACTGCTGAGCCTCATTCTGACTGGTCTGGAGGGATTTCCACTGAAGCTGGATCAGCCTGTGATGTGATTCTCCACTTTTATTTTAGCATGATTCCACATCCAGACCTCCATGGGACAATAATTTAGATTTACATTGATCATTTTTATGTTATTTTGTTCTCAATGCATTCCACTATGTGATGAATAAAGATTTTCAACTGGAGTATTTCATTCATTGAGATCTAGGACGTGTTACTTTAATGTTCCCTTTATGTTTTGAGCAATGTAAATAAAAAAACGTAGATAACAAATAATACAAGAAAGAATTAGTTAAATAATAAAAACATGTTTTGAGTGATTTTTAGTTGTATCTTGATTTTTTTCCATTTATGTGGAGTCTTGCAATCACATGTTTAAATTCCTCTGCAGCTCTTTCCCATGTAGGACCATGATGCAGGCAGACTCATCCCATCACAGCGCTGGTGTTCATACATGGTTTTATAACCATGGTCATGCCAGTAGATTAACTGGAGACCACAGGTGCACTCAATTTAGTGTCAGTGATCACAGGCGCATCCACTGTTGTTGCATTGCGTGTCTGCTTTGGGGTCTGTTTTTGTAAGATTGTGTTTCTAAAGTATTTGTTGTTGATTGTTACTAAAGGGTAAATACTCGACTGTTCAACTTAGAAAAAAATGCAACTTCTGAGAGGTGTACTCTCTCCTTCACATGCTGCATGTATGTACAGTATATCAACATAATCTCAGAGAATAGAACAGATCCTGAGTGGTGTCTGCAGCTGCAGATACAGCCACAGCACTGGTGTTGTAAGTTAGAACGACAGCAGTATCATAACCATACCTGCCCGCAATAACATGGTTTGAACATATTATCTGTGTTCACCTGCAGCACCAAACATCTGTGACTACAACACACTACAGAGCATGCTCCTTCCAGCTGGACCCAGGTCCATGCAAACTAACCTGTGTGAAAGGTTTCTGAGTGAAATTTACGGTTATTATTATTTTGTTGTTGCACAGAATGGTGACCTGAATGGAAGGACAGAAAAGGAAAGAGAGAGAGCACGAGGATCACATGTAGCCCCCAGCGGGGATTGGAACCATTGATCTGCTGCTCAGGGAATCTGTACCCATGTGCTATATGTGCACTCTCAGTTAGGTCACACCTGCTGTTTCTTTGTCTCGACAATATTCCTGTTTTTCTCTCCTTTCTGTGTTTGCCATTTGAGCCGTGCGACAACTCCAGTGTGCTTGGATTCTGTAGCTGTGCAAATGGTAAATAAAATCACTTGAAAGTAGCTTGAGCCTGAATACAGAGGACTCGCACTTTCAAATATCAACATCCAGTTTTCATCCTCAACCTTGCATATCTTGCTCAATATTGTTCCAAAGAAGCCTGCTTCCTTGTACAATGTGTCCAAACCAGCAGTCTCAAGACCAGAGCCAGTGAGAAATATGTGAAACCGTTAGAGATAAAGAGACAGAGTGAGGCAGACAGATAAAGAAAGCGAGAGCAGCTGCTTTGGGGGGTTGGGGGTGAGGTGTTATGTAACAGCCTGTAAGCCCTGCCTTCTTTCTCTGGCCAATATAATCCCTCCATCATTCCCCCCATTGTTCACAGGCAGTGCTCCTCAGTGCAGCAGAGTGGGATCAGCATCCTCTCTTCCCATTGGATGAAGAGCGAGCTATGACTGCAAAATCCCATTGGCTGCCAGTCTGTATCACCACACCATCATCATCATCATCGTTGTCGTCGTCTTGCGTGCCGTGTGTAGCATCAGCAGGAGGGAGCAGGTTCACAGGATGCATGAGCCACCATTAGCTGTCCTCGCTACTGTTGGAGCAAAGTGCAAAAATAAAAAGAATATTCAACAGTTTACTTCTGATGTATGTGTTTAGCATTTGATGCCAAGAGATAAAATATCTCAGTGTGTCTTGTCTGCTGCAGATTACAGCAAATGAATGAAGAAATTCTTCAACCAGAGTTGGGCTGAAGGAGGAAGGAAGAAAAGTGTTTTGTCTCGCCTCACAGACTTCCTCTGTTTCTCTGTGACCCAGTGACTGTTGAGCCTGTGACCTCCAAACCTTGTTTGATATGCACAAACCACAGAGGAAATGGATGGATGTTCTGTTATGCAATAGCTCAGTTCACCGAGCACATAAAAAAAAACATCTCCTTTCAACCTTGACAAACTGAGTGCAAATGTATGCATAATCATTCAGTGTTAAATTAAGATGTGGGTCCACTGTACTTGCACACTAAGCCACATTTTTCTTCAGACTGGAACACCTCAGTGAGGATCAGTGTCTTATCCACTGTCAGGACGTTCTCCCTGAAACGTAATGAATGTTTAATTTACGGGTGAAAGTCCATCCATGTCCGGGTCCTCCCACATAGGGTGTGAACAGACCTGCGGAGCAACAGTGAAGGAGACTGTTAGAGAAGAAAAGCTTACCAGAAGAAGACAAAGCACAAACAACAGTTCTACATTCAAATGAGTAATTAAGTAAAAGTACAGAGATAACAGAAGTAAAATGTACATTATCAGTAAAAGTACCCATAATGAAGGTAAAATCATGTCATCGTATACTGGATTAATTAAACCTATCTGGAATTATTGTTTTTATATCATTTAATTTGAAGCTAGTTTAATCTATTTGGAGTTACTGTTTTGAAACCTCAGTCCTGGGAAAGCAGTTAGAAGTAATAGAAGCTGTGTGGGTCAAATTAGAAACTCCCAGGAGCGCTAAACACTGGATTAACTTACTGTGGAACACGTTTAATTACACTTAAGCATGCACTTCTACCAGATTTATGGAGAGATGCTTATAGTGCTCACATCGCTCTTTCATGTATACGGATGCAGCACGCTGTTCTGTTTCAGTGAAAAGACAATCTGCCACCCACTTTAGAAAATCTAACAGAAAGTATGAGGAGCTCACTGAGCTTCTGTCACCATAGGAACCTTATCTAAAGGAGTGTAAACTAAACAGCTCATTCTTCACGGGCTGTTTGTGCTTGAGAAGTGTAACTGGTTTTACATATGATCTCCAGTAACAGTCGTATTCCTTCATTAACACAGATGGACACAGTGAAGTCTCCTTCATGTTCAGAGGTGGAGGTGATTCTCATTCTGCTGGTGGACTGATTTTATCTCACAGCTGTCACAGAAGTTCCTCTTTTGAAGCGCTTGTCCATCTGTCGAAGTTTGTTTACCGATTACAGGTTTTCTAAGTTGTGTGTCAGTGATTCCAGGTGTTTTCACTTTCGTCACACTGATTTTCTACTTTGGGTTTTGTTGTTTTTAGTTTTCTGGTGGTTCATAAAGAAATGTTCAACTTAGAAACATGTCAGCTGTTAACAGGCGATGTGGTCTTGAATCATTTTGCAAAACCCGTCTTTTGTATTCTGTTTAATAAAATGTGTTGTTCGTATTAATGATCTAACAATGTGAAGTAAGCAGGAAACAAAGCCGTGAAATGAATGGACCTGAGTGGGTGATGCTTCATGTCAGGGTGTCCAGTCCTGGTCCTGCATGGTTCAGATGTGTCCCTCTTCCAACACATCTGGTCCACATGATCAGGATCGTTATTTGCAGAGCTTGATGATGAGCTGATCATCTGGATCAGGTGTGTTGGAAGAGGGCCGCATCTAAAACATGGAGGACTGTGGCCCTCCAGGACCAGGACTGGACACCCCTGCACTAAATGGACGTACAGGTCTTGGTATTGTTCCTCCGGCGGCCCGCCCTGCCCCCTCCTCCTCCTGCCACCCCTCCTCCTCCTCCTCCCGTGACCCTGGCCGGCCCCCTCC